GCAGCAGCTTAGTCATGCTGGCCACATGACCTGGAAGCTGTACGCCGGCTCCCTCGGCCAATAAAGCGAGATGAGCGCCGCAACCCCAGAGTCAGTCACGACTGGACCTAATGGTCAGGGGTCCGTTTACCTTTACCTTTATAAGCTCAATTGCCACTGATATTTCCTAAACCCTGGAAGCGCCCAGATCTTTGGGTTGTTTCGGGGTGTTCTAAATATTTTGTTGTCTTTTAATGTGAAAATATATGCACTTCTCCATACCTAAAATGTTGCCCTGGTATTCAGAAACCACAACCTCATTACTTATTTGCCCTGTTACATTTCCATACCAATAGGCACTCAGTCACTCAAGTTTGCTATCGAAACACATTATGTTTGGAGGTAAGATCTATTGAAACAAATGGAACGTACTTTTGCACGAGCATGGTTATTGTTTTTATGCTCCTGGCCTACGTTTCTCACTTCATCTAGTGGCCAGATTGCTTTACTAAATTATCTATAATCTTCAGGCATCCCTAATTATCATTTTGAGTCTTTTCTTATCTAGAGTGTCCTTGATTCTGTATAACATAGGAGAGTGATCTGGTAAGATATAAGAAAGCAGTAACATAAAAGAGCTTTTTTTAAAAAGAGCTTCTGGGGAGGGGAAGTAAGACCAAACAACTAGACATTATAGACTCACAAACATGAGAATCAAGAGGTGTTAAGAACTCACGGAGATAATGGCAGAAGCCTTTTCTGTGAGTTCCGATTCCATAGAGAATTCTGAGCCAGGCTTTCATTCCTTGCAGCATAACCTACAACCTGCTTCCAATTGTTTGGCATCAGTTGAACATATGCGGCACCCAACTGCTGGGCTTAATGTTGTATGAATTGAATGCTAGACCCTTATCTATCATTTATTTGTCTCATGTGTATATGCCCATATATATTACAGACATTTTTTATTTAATTATTCAGGAATTGGCACACGAGTTGCATTATCTCATTCCTCTGGGTCCCCCTCACTGACAGAATAATGCAAAGGAGCAGTAGCTAACACTTATACACTTTGGGTTGTTCATCAGGAAATAAGGCCTCATTAAACTGCCTGTATCACACAGCAAGAAATTATCCTTAAGGAGTGCCTGGCATCGAAAGCCTCTCTCATCCCTATCCCTTCACCGGCTGCTGTAAGAAAAGTTGCGCGGCTCAGTCATAATTTACAGGCAAGTCTCAATATTTGGGCTGTGTCATTTTGATGGATATAGAGCTGTCCCCACTACAAGGTCAACATGTGTATCTGTTTATTCGGGGAAATATATGGCACGAGGGGGAGAGAGCGGCATGTCAGAAGGCTCTTTCTCAGTTTGAGGCTTCCTTCTCTGCTTACTGGGTGGCCTTTGGCAAATTCCTGTATTATAGCTTTCCCTTCTTTCTCCAAAATGTAAAATGGGAATAATGGCAACCTTACTGTACAAAATGAAGTCTGTGCAACAGTCTCAGTAAAGGTGGTACAGTGGTACCTCGGGTTACAGACGCTTCAGGTTACAGACTCCGCTAACCCAGAAATAGTACCTCGGGTTAAGAACTTTGCTTCAGGATGAGAACAGAAATCGCATGGCAGCGGCGGCAGGAGGCCCCATTAGCCAAAGTGGTACCTCAGGTTAAGAACAGTTTCAGGTTAAGAACAGACCTCCAGAATGAATTAAGTTCTTAACCCGAGGTACTACTGTATATAATAGTCACAGTCAAGAAATAGGCCCTTCTGCACAAAACAATTGAAATGAACAGGAACTCCAAGGAAGAACTGTCTGAGCTCGCCAAGTTTTACTGGCTATCAGTTCTCAGTTTTGTCCACTTTATTTCACCATAAGGGAGAGTGGAAGGCTGCAGTCCTATGCATATCTACTTGGAAGTGAGTCCCACGGAGGGACTTCCTTCAGTGTAGAAATGAATGGGTTTCCACTCTTGATCTGAGAGCTGGCCCATGACAGCCCACTATTGATAACACGTCTACTATGTTCTTGCGCTATTTCCATTCAATGGTGCTTGTGCAAAAGAATAGCCATGCTAGGTAAAGGTAAAGGGACCCCTGACCATTAGGTCCAGTCGTGACTGACTCTGGGGTTGTGGCGCTCATCTCGCTTTATTGGCCGAGGGAGCCAGCATACAGCTTCCGGGTCATGTGGCCAGCATGACTAAGCCGCTTCTGACGAACCAGAGCAGCGCACAGAAACGCCATTTACCTCCCCGCTGGATCGGTACCTATTTATCTACTTGCACTTTGACGTGCTCTCGAACTGCTAGGTTGGCAGGAGCAGGGACCGAGCAACGGGAGCTCACCCTGTCGCGGGGATTCGAACCGCCAACCTTCTAATCAGCAAGCCCTAGGCTCTGTGGTTTAACCCACAGGGCCACCCGTGTCCCAATAGCCATGCTAGTAGGTGATAATTGTAGTTATTAGTCTCCAGCAGCATCTGATTGGTACCACATTAGCTTCCCCACTTTATATTATTTCTACAGTTCTGTTAATTATTTATTTTTTAAGCTTCTTTGATTAGAAATTATAATATTGATTTCATGATGCATCCAATTTTCATTATTACTACTATTATTGATGATGATGATATTAATCACAGAGTAAAACCCAGTGAAATCAATGAGCTTGAATAACTTGGGTTTACTCTGAATATGACTAATGTTGGAGATCATCCTTTTTTGTATTTAAATTGCCTGTCGCTGTTTCACTATGTTCTTGTTCATTTGATATGTTCATATAGATATATTGACTAACCTGTCATTTACCTCTCTTGTGCTTTATTACTGTTGTGACCTGCTTTGAACTCAACTTTCTTCTTGGAAGAACAGCACACAAAAATCAAAACAAATCATCATTTGGCAAAAGATGTATATATGAGCCATAAAAGTGGCGAGATAAGAGCATCCCAATGGATCTTCGAAGCTTAAAGCAATCATTTTCAAAGAATATTGTTAGAATGTTTATAATACATGAATTTCTGAGTGGTTTTGGAGACTGACTGGTCTATAGAAAAGCAGAGAGGAAGCAACACAGAGATTTCTCAATGCTCCCCAACCATTATCTCTAGATACCAGGAAGGCAGGAAGAACATCATTCTGTCCTTAGGTCTATTCAGCTATTCATCAATTCAACAGAAACTCCACAGATTCCAATTATAATAATTCTCTTACTGTGTGGAAGTTACCTAACAATGTAGCTCAGCAACTGTCAATGACTCCTGGACTCTAGAACCTGCAATGACTTCTAGCCATTCTCTGGCTGAAAGCCAATTGTTACCTGATTGTGACTTCCACAACGGCCTGTCCACTGCTGGAAACAAGACACTGGGCTGCATGGTCCATTAATCTGATCCAACACAGCACTTCTGTTTGAGGGATGTCAAATTTCCCAGCTAACCTAACACTAAGCCAGTTGAAATACATTTACAAAGCACTAATGAAGCACTTCTCTGTGGGCCACAACACTGAGCATAAAGAAATTCCTCTCATTTCATTGGGACTTGTTCCAAAGTGTGTGCTTATGACAGTAGCCTTAGTGTGGGGCGGGGGTTAAGTGCTTCAGAGCTTCTGGAAGCAGAGTGCTTCAATGGGCACTCTGGAGAACCAGCTCTCCCATCCTGCCTTGAGGTCAAAGAGTGAAGAAAGATACCCTCAGGGTAATAGGAAATTGCCTAGAGTCTAGAGTGGCTGTAGGCAACTGTGAGCAGCTGATCAGGTGGGCACTTTGTAGGGAGCTACAGTGCTGCATGCCGTTCTCCCGTTCTCATAAATTTCTTCGTGCCTATGTGTCTTCCACTTGGGAACCATAAAGGCAAAAAACAGTAAGGTGAATCAAATGGGGGAAAACCAAGCAAGGGATTCATTGAGCAACTGGGCAAATAGCAAACCAAGACTAATCCAGGGTATTTTGCCAGCCCATAAGGGATGCAGGTGGCGTTGTGGGTTAAACCACTGAGCCTCTTGGGCGTGCCGATCAGAAGGTCGGCGGTTCGAATCCCAATGACGGGGTGAGCTCCCGTTGTTTGGTCCCTGCTCCTGCCAACCTAGCAGTTTGAAAGCACCTTAAAGTGCAAGTAGATAAATAGGTACCTCTCCGGCAGGAAGGTAAACGGTGTTTCCGTGTGCTGCTCTGGTTCACCAGAGGCGGCTTAGTCATGCTGGCCACATGACCTGGAAGCTGTCTGCGGACGAACGTCGGCTCCCTCAGCCTATAAAGCGAGATGAGCACACAACCCCAGAGTCGGTCACAACTGGACCTAATGGCCAGGGGACCCTTTACCTTTAAAGATGTGCCATGTATGAACATATGAAGCTGTCAGGCCATTGGTCCATATAGTTCAGTGTTGTCGACGCTGAGTGGAAGCAGCTTTCTGGGGTTTCAGGAAGGGGTCTTTCCCAGCCTCACCTGGTGATGAATTCTACCCTGAGCTCCATGAACTCCCAAGACCCCTCTCAGTTCTTCAGAGTGCATCGTGCTGCATCAGCATTCCTAACAATATTGCCACCCTAAGCAACTGCTTGAGCTCTTTATGCAGTTAGGCAGGCCCTGGCCAAGGAGTATTGAAGTGAATCCAAACATCTCAGCACTCTCCTGCTTTGTCAGTGTTCCATTGTGAGGTACCTACCAAACCATTTTCAATAGGTCTGCTGTAGCATTGTGGTAACTGGGCTTTTAAGCAGTTGCAGAGAAACAAAATGAGGAATGTGCTGGCTGTACAGCCTGTCACACAGTGAACCCCTTTCAATTACATACCCTCCAACATTTCTGCAATGAAAACAGGGACATCCCATTCCATAATGATAATTTTACTATTTAAACCCCACACATCTTACTGGGCTGCCCTAGCCACTCTGAGCAGTACAATACTTAACCAACTCAGGTTCTGCCCTCAACATAAATCCTGGCTATGCCTATGTCACAGAATCCTATATTTGTAGAGTGGGAAGAGTTAACCTTTAAAGTAGAACAAGACACTTCATTTGTGTAGCAACTTTATTTTATTTCATCAGTTTTATATCCCACAATGTAAATACAATCATAAAACTTTTTTAAAAACAAAAACAAACAGCATTATCATCCACAGTTCGAAGACAAGAAGCAGCAGAGTCAGTAATAATACCCACTATATCCCAAAGTCCTGAGCAAATAAAATAGTTTTCAGATTACACCTCTATACTGCTAGTACAGGGCACAGTCGGATTTCACTCCTACTGGGAGAGTCAGAGACACCCCATCATTGTCATCATGGCCATGAAGTCCTGCCCTGGACAAGTCAAGGCCGTCCCAACACGGACAGTGAAGTCTCCCAATAGGATCCTCCAAAACCACATTGTAAACTACCTCCTGTGGGGGCAGTGGGAGGGGGAGTACACTAATAGCACCATTGTTTTCTTACCCAACACCAAATGCAGACCCTCACACCCAGCTCCCAAGTCGGCAGATTTCCTAATGAAGAAGATGGAAGCTCTATGTATTGATTGCAATATCCCACCTCCCAGCCCTCCAGTCTGCACAGATGGGGTACTGAATATCAAGCTGGGCAAAGCTGGGTCAAGTCCACCCCCCCAAAAAAAGTTGGCCACCCAAGTCTCTGTAATGCAGCCAAATCGGCCCCTTAACCCCCTGTCATCTTGCAACTAAGTGAGATCTTACTGTGGACTGGCCTGGAGACACCAGAAGCAATGACAGAGAGAAAGGCAGGATGAGATTTTGACTAAACATTAGGAAGAACTTTAGGATGGCCTCTTTGACGGTGGAACGGACAACCTCAGAAGGTGGTGGATGCTCCTTAAACGGTGGTTTGTTTTTTTTAAGACAGAGGTAGATGGTCACCTGCCAGCAATTCTTGCATTGTAGGGGGCTGGGTGAGCCTTGGTGCCCCCTATCAGTGCTATGATTTTATGTGGGGCAAGAGAGAGAGGGCAACAGGCTTAGCCCGTTTGCTGCCCCTATCCCCGTGTGGAGAGAACTTCACTTGTCTTGACATCTGAGCTCAAGCCAGCACCTTTACTCCCGAGGCTCCACGATTGGGCTTATACTCCAATGCCTTTTCCACCTGTGCTCCTCTCATAGGCTTGCATTCAGAAATACAGGCAGGAGAGGGAGCCCACCCCCTCCCTTCTCTCGCATGAACTCTGTTTGACCCCTCTTCCTTCAAGGGCCTAAGACGGCATGAAAGCAGTCGTATATTTTACAATATATTCCCCTGCACGTTAAAGCCCTTTTTCTTGCTGCATCTAGGCAGACATCGCGCGGGCTCTTTGTCTGCTTTTTGCCTCTCCCAGCGATCAGAATGATCAGGTTGTGCTCCAGGATTTCCCCTAAATTAAAACAAAGGCGGTGTCTGTAATTTCAGATTTGAAGCTGAAGTCCTAAGCTAGAGGCAACGCGAACCTAAACGAGGTTTCTCACAAGCAATTATTTAATTTAATAAATAATAATAATAATAATCTGGCTGGGTTGCTCCAGACACTCTGTGAGGCTCCCAACACGTATAAAAACATAATATAACGTCAAGCATTAAAAATTAAGTTAAATGGGCACGTTTAGGATTGCAGCCGTACTCGATGATGTCCCCTCCGAACACAGTAAGGCAAACTTCTCCATAATTTGCTTAGGATCGCGCTGTGCGTGTGACTATAAGTAGCAGTCAGATCATCCGACCTCTTTCTAGAAAAGGTTGTGCGCCAGCTTTTTCTTGCTATAGTTTTGCTTGCTATAGAAAAGGTTCCAACGAACTAAGGCAATGGGGTGTGAAAGATCGAAGAGCTTCTTCCAGGTGTGACTGGCCTCCAGCCATGGGCGTACCCATGATTTTTGTTGGGGGGGGCAGAACCTCAGATTTGTATTGGTTTTGATTGATTTAGGGGCGGCGGCAGCCCCCTGCCCGCCCCCCCCCGGGTACGCCCATGCCTTCAGCAGCAGCGGAGCAACAGATTCCACTGTGGTGCCCCCAGATGCTGCCGAGTCTGCTCAAGTTTACTCGGAAGTAAGTGCCAAACGGATCCGCTTGGACCTACTTCCGCTGCGACTGCAAGCCTGTGCCAAAATACTTGGATTTGAGGTTTTTTTCCCTAATGGTTTGGAAATAGGTTAGTGATAGCCAGCGTTAATATCCAGTAATTTGGACTTCCTTACACGAGGCATGAGTCGTGCCGCTCTATAGATCCGTTCCCTTGGGGGCAGACCTTAGTGCCCCTCCAAAGGAACATTGCCATCTCCAAAAGCCCTGGAATGGGAACCCAGGGACCCCTTGAAAACCTGAGAGTCTGGCATGGCTCCTTCTTTTAAAAAATGACTAGCATTCAGTTGTTGATGCATAGATGCCTTTAGAAATCATCATCATCAACAACAACAACAACAACGGTATAACTAAACGACATATATAAATGGGTTCCCAGTCAAACTTTATTCTTAGATTTCACTTTTTCTTAAAGTCATGGTCTTCATTTAAAAGGGTTCACAACAGGACCCGATCCCAACCCCCACTCTACATGTTTACCTGAGACACAATGTTTTATTCCCGTTCATCAGTCATGGGTTTGCTTCCCCCAAAGTATTAAGGCAGGATACATTATTTAACTGACACCGCTCTATATTCATACACAAAGAGAAGTGGGGGGGGAGGGAGAGGCTGCAGATCCTAACCCCGTTACCTGGTAGTAACCTCCATTGAATCCAATAAGACTTACTTCTGAGTAGACATGGTTAGGATTACTCTGCAATTTATCTTCGAATTCCTAAGGGGCAATGTCGAAGACTTTGTACTAAATCAAGTGGCCAATATCGTAACCAGAAGGTCTTTACCAGGACACCAGTTTAAGATTACCCAAGTCTAGGAGTTACCTGGAAGTTATAATCCTTACTCCTCAGCTCCCCGTGCCAACTTTGGCTGTTATTCCACAACTTTCTTTTCCACTTCTTTTTATCACACGAAGGATCGCCATGAAAAACTAAAATAGGCCTCGCGAGGAGTTGTTGTTAAAGGAATGGAAGAAAGAACCTCGCGGGCTATTTGAGGAACTATAAAGAGAAGTTCTTTGTTTTGAGAAACCAGCTGAAAACTTAATTAAGAGAAGCATTTTGCTGAGCCAACACAAAAGCAAAAGCAAAGAGTGACAATCAATGGAAAGGAAGTCCATCCATCTCAGAATCTCTTTGCTTTGCTACATAACATTCAAGAAACTGCATTTATTAATGAAAAATTAAAACCAGTATTTATATTAAAAAACAAAAAAACCGGCACGACATTACTTACACGGGAAACCTCATCTTAAGCCAACGTGCTTAATTGAAAGCCTCACTTGGTTGCGCCGGATGTTTCCAGAGAGCACAGATTTGTTTAGAACCACAGCCGAGCCCTCCAAAGCAAAAGGAATTCAAGTCACCCACCACTGCTTTCTAGCTAATGATTGCGTTTACATGCAGGCACCTGGAAGCAGCAGTACTGGGGAGCCCTGGAGTATTTCAAAAGACATTTCGAACCAAGGCCTAACGTTTGAAAAGGAAAGTTTTCAAAGGGGAGAGAGAAGCCCTTTTATGAAACATATGGCTCTCCATCTTTGGTTTCTTTTGTACAACACACACACACACACACACACACACACACTTGGGTTCTTTCCAAAACACATACAAAAAAAAAGGAAAACACAAAGATTCAAAACAATCAGAGGTCCAGCTGAGCAAGCCTAAGATCTTCTGCCCGTAGTCTTTTCCACGAGACTTCCTCGTGAGTAAGCAAGCCTAAGGTCAAATAAGCTCAGCAAGGCCAATCACAAAGTTTAGCAGCACACAGTGGCCTAAGAGCAGCTTTCCCTGAAATGCAAATAAATAAAATGTAAACAAGTCAGACGGTGCCATTTGTGCCTTGAGCGAGTTCTGCGTAAAAGCAGCAAATGTCCTTCATCCTACACGTGATAAAGCCAGCCTTTTCCCCAAGGGGAGTGCAACAACATCAGTGCAATGATTGTCTTTCTAAATAAAACAAAGCAATCCCCTCGTCTTAGAATGTGCACGATTTAACACCATTCAGAGATTTCCGATTTATTTGGAGTTTTTGTTGTTGTTTAACTCTCTTGAGTCTTTTCAGCCTCCTGCTGTTCCTAACGCCTCTCTGTGTTTCCACAGCCGTCAGGGCGAGCCCTTGGCTGGAGAAGAGGGAGCAGAACGCATCGCTGGCTGTGTCGGACTCGACTCCGAGGGGGGGCAGTGAAAAGGCACCGCAGCGCAAGGGACGACCATCCCTTCTCGCTCCCTTTTCTTCTGTTTCATCCTCCGATTCTGGAACCAGATCTTCACCTGAGTGTCATTGAGGCCCAGGGATTTGGCGATCTCCACGCGCCGGGCCCGGGTAAGGTACTTGTTGAAGTGGAACTCTTTCTCCAGCTCCGTGAGTTGCTTGGTGCTGAAATTGGTCCGGACGGCACTGGGAGGGCTGGGAGATCCATAGGTGGAGAGCTTGCCTGCTATGGGGTAAGAAGAGAGTTGAACTGTTAGGGAATTAATGCCCAAATCATGGGACCTGGCGCTGGTTCTAACCACACAGCGTCTGGACGCACCCAGGTCTGTTGATTAGAGCGTAGTGCTGATAACGCCAAAGTTTGCAGGTTTGATCCCCGTATGGGACAGCTGCATATTCCTGCATTGCAGGGGGTTGAGCTAGATGATCCTCAGGGTCCCTTCCAACTCTACAATTCTATGAAACCCGGATTAGCTTATGCGGAAGAACCGCCGCCACGTGTGATTGTTTTAACTTCAAAGTCAATGTGGCTTGACAAAGTGGGGATACGCACCGTGCGCCACGTCAGTTGAACATGAGTTATGTTAAGCGATAAGAGCCCCCACCCCCAACGCGTTTCCTGGCTTTCAACCAGCTGCTCTTCCAAAGATATGCGCTTAGGGTCACAGCCTTAGAAGCAGGTAGATGGAAGCGATCCAAGTTCAGGAAAGGCTCTTTTACATCGGGGAAAAAGAAAGCCCCAGATCCATGCTTTACGAGGGTTTGAACAAGTTTCCTTTCATTTCCCGCCAGATCTTAAAACCCTTTTCCATTGAATGGAAGAAAAGTACCGTCAACATCAGCAGAACTTGTCTCCAGAATGGAAGATTGCACAGGTACTTGGGAGTAAGCCCCACGAAGTTCAGTGGGGCTCACTTCCGAGTTAACCAGCGCAGAACCAGGAGGGAGGGGCGCGAGGTGGGACGTGTCGGTTTCAGACTCAGAACCCAGGACCCAAGGATGACAACTTGAATAAAATATTGGGGGCCCAAGTAAGCCCTGCCCCGCGTAATAGATCACAAAACGCGGCGCGCATACACCATTTTAATAGCAATGCTCATTAACTTTGGGGGGCGAAGGGACTCTTAAGAGTTGCCTCCTACGCTAGGACCCGAGTATTGGACAGCCCACAGCTCACTTGGCGCGCCCAAGGCGCGACACTTACTTTTCGGGGGCGCGTTCCTCTTGACTTTCATCCACTCGAACGTGCTGAGCGCGATCCGGGAGCCGGCCTTGACGCAGAAGTCCGAGGAAGGGGGCGGCGGGGGCGGCGCATCCTTGGCGCAAGGCTGGAAGGTGTCGCTGAGCGCGCCGTAGTCCACTTGGAGGTAAGGGCTGCCGCCGCCGCCGCCACCACCCGCAAAGATAGACGTGGTGGCGTAGTGGAGGGGAGCGCCGGCCTCGTCTGGGCCGCCGGGGGCCGCGTAAGGCGCCTCGGGCCGCAGCAAGCTGTACTCTGCCGCCGCAAAAGCGCTGCGCGCCAGGGCGCAAGGCGCCAGCTGTTGCTGCGGTTGCGCCGAGCGCGGGGAGAAGTCCGGCAAGCTTCCTGCCGCCGGCGTGGGGTAGGCGCCTTCCCCGCCTGCGGACAGGGGACAGGGCGGCCGCAGAGCCACGCCACCGGGCTCGGAGCTCCCGAATTTGGTCGCCAAGCTCAAACCATCTCCGCCCCGCGCGAGATACTCCAGGAAGGAGTTCATGGCGGGTCCCTGAGCAAGCGGAGAGCGCGCCGGAGAAGGGGCAGCAGGGCGACTACGATGTAATCACGGCGCCCGCTGCGCTCTCTGGACCACCTCCTCCTCCCTCAACCATGGTAAAGCCGGCTGGGAGGGTAAATAAGTGCCCTAATATAGAGCCAGGGGAGCTGGCACGTGCTCGCCTGCTGGCCAATGGGAGCCGCGAGTTAGGCACGCGACCTGGGATGCAGCCGGCCCGTCCCGGGCATCACCAGCCACAACTTTGCCAACGGAGAAGATGATGCAGGAAGCAGCAGCAGCGGTGTGGGCGGGGGCGCAGGGAGGTGCCTAGTCATGCCTAAGCCTCCGAGGAGGGTTAGGGACCCAGAGAGAGAGAGAGATCCCGGTAAGTGTGGTAAGAGATCCGTTTCTCTCACTAGCGTTGGAATGAGGTTGCTTTTACGGAGAGGGGACTCTGACCAAAGTTTGACTTTGTGCAAACGGGATCACCACCCGAGTCCATCGGGCGAGCCTTTTCAGCATAGGGATAAGCCGCTGGGACAAGGGATAAGGCGCGCGCGAAGGGCAAGGAGGGCTGGGAAGCAGCTGGGAGGGAGGGTAACTAACTAGTCCGCTTCCATTAAGCATCTCGCCCACCCCACTCCAAGAATGAATGGAAGAATGCCCGTGTTCAGGCTCCAAGCCAGAGGTTATTCTAGGCTGGAAAATAAGTGAGAACCAGTCTGGTGTTAAGTTTAGGCGCGGGGAGAGAATGTTGACCTGAAAGTAGATGTTAGTGAACTCTACAGAACTTGCTTTCAGGGTTAAGAAGGGATTAACAGACAGAATCCTCTCTTTATCCGCTTGCCTTGGCCAAATCGCTGTGGTCTCAACATCTAACAGTAATGGTTATGAAATAAAATATTAATTTAAAAAGTGGGACTTTAATCCTGTTTAATGCTCACTGGTGAATTTAGGCGCACCTAATAGGGTCGGGGCTCTAAGAACTGCTATTGCAATCATTTATCTTCTCCACCCCATAGGAACCAACTCTTAGAGGCTGAGGTCCCTTCGTGTCCGCCCGCCCACTAAAACAGTTGAGGGGACCGGGCCCCCAAAGTTGATGGGCATTGCCATTCAGGTGCGTGCGCCCCATGATGAACGCCGTGATTATGTAGGGCGGGGCTTACCGGACCCACCCCCTCAATATTTCATTCCAGTTGGCACCGCTGCCCCAGCTACACACACACATCTTTTGACACTGTTCTCAGGGAGTCCTCTATGATGAGCGAAAGGCTGAATAGTTTGTTTTGTGCCACCTCTGGCTTCGCTTCCCAAAGAGCGGATAACAAATAACCTCAGCTCGGGGTTCCTCGACCTCCAGGCTGACGAGGCTACAGTCTTCTTTACGCGCACCGACTTGGGAGTCAACCTGAACTTCTTGGAACTGCTTTCCTCAACTGCGCCGAGCCATTTCTCCAGCAATTGCTTCCTCACTCCAGTTTGGGGCGGGGAGCTCCAAACCTTGGCGCGCTCCAGCACTGCTGCCGCCTTCCATCCTGCCCTGCCCTGCCCCAAAGACGTGTAAGCTCTCGTCCTGCCAGGCTGGACATTAAGACGGGACTCGAGGTTCTTCCGGAACATAATATGGCAGGTGCTTCCACGCTGCAGCTGCTGTAGTTCAAAGGGGAGTGGGGTGGGCGAAGTTCTCCACTCAGTCTAAAGTCCTCGGTCCTCTCTGTCTTGATGTGAACGGCAGCACTGTGGTTTCCAGTGAAACTAAGTTATTGGAGTGAGGGTGGTTCGCTGCAACCTTTTCCTTCTGTCTTTGCTCCAAGAACTGAAGCACATCATCTCCCCCCCCCCCCGCGTGCGCTTTCGAATGAGTCTTTGAGCTAGGCTAAAAAGCATCCGGAAGCCAAAACAGACCAGGATGGTGTCAACAATGCGCGCTACTGTACGGAGCAGCTATTAATGGTCCTCGGGCAGCCAGTAAGTGCTCTGTGGGTCTTTGCAAGTGAATCTGAGGCCTCGCTATGTTAATGGGATTCCTTGTTTCCCTTGATAATAATAACAGCCTTGTTGCTTTAATGACTGCTTTCAGTTGGCATAGTAGAAGAGAAAGGAAGTGGGCTTACAAATGGTGAATTTTTTCCTCCCTCCCCGTTTTTGTTTTTGTTTTGTTTTTTGGCAGGGGGGGGAGGCAGGCAGGGGTATTTTCCTGCTGCAGCAGAAAATTACTCCCCTCCCACCCAAAGGTTCAGATGATCATCCTGATTTGTTTCTAAACAATAACAAAGTACTGGCTTTTCAAAGCATAATTCCGATGATGTCTAACTTCTACTTTGGAGGTGTGTTTGAATCCAGGTGTCTATGCAAGAAGTGTGGGAATGTTCAGGGAGGCAGGAGAGGATATATTGTTTAATAATATCCTTCCCAACTTGTGTTAGCAAGTTCTATAATTTAGCAGAGTAACATTCCCTTTTTAAACTTACACAGCGGATAACTTGTTGCCAGGTTTGCTTAAGTCTCTAAAATAATTTTCCTGGTAATTCCCTTTTATTCCCTCCTAAAAAGAATAGACACGACACAGTCGTTTATAAAATAGTTTACTCACACATTCTGTTCACAGATGGATCCCAGAAGGCAGACTTAAGTTACAAAATATATTCGCTTGGAATCTATCCCATAAGGAGATAGTTCCTTTGTCCTCACTTGGCTGGAGGCCAAGAGAGCATCTCAGGCTGAGCAGCTGATGCTTCTACAATGAAAGCAAGATGGAGAAGAGAGAGAGAGAGAGATGGTGGCCAGCCCTGTGCTTATGTTACCTGCACAGGTAAGGTCACGCCCACCTCTGGTCACATGTGGAGGAAGTTTGTCCCAGCCTAGGAGGAAACAGGAAGTTCCAACTGGCTAGTACAAACATGGCCACTCTAGGAATGTTGTATTTGACTGCTCTGTGTTTCACATCCCACAAGAAGACCCCCCCACCCCTCAGTCTTTTGTATTTAAAAATCAGTAGTTTCAGAAAAAGAAGAGCTGCCATTCACACCTGTTTGAAAACCATGTCTTGGACCCTGCATAGAAGGCCTTCCCTGGAGAGGGTTGTCTGCTTCAGTAGTAAGGGTAATGTATTCCAAGTCGTTGTTTTTGTACTAGTTGTATATCCACTGTTTATCATACTCTGGATATGACAGTTGGATATCACCCAGAACTTTATGGAACAATCTTACATTTACAAAGCAAAATATCTTCTTGAATTATATACCCAGCACACGGAACCTTACAAAAAGGCAATACAAGTGGACTCTTCATGCCCTGGCTACAGCAAAAAGACTGATACTGATGAATTGGAAAAATAAACACAGACTTGCCATGGACAAATTCAATGATATTTGGAATCCATTTTTACAAATACTGTGATAGGTTAAGACAGTGCTTTTTTCTTTTTAAAAAAATGTTTAGGGGTACTCTCATTAGATTCACAAAATGTTTAGGGGTATGCGCTCCCCTGCACCGTGCCCCGCCCCCGAAAAAAAGCACTCGGTTAAGATCTGGTGAAGTACAATAACAACCTTGTAAAGTATACATTTTTGGAGTTTTCCCCCTCCCCACTTTATTTTCCCTTCTACATGGGATCTGTTTCTCTTTTTCTTACTCTCTTCTTTTATTTACGTCTCACAATGTTTAGTGCACATATAATTATGTACTTTTTGAACTTTCAATATATATATTTTTTTAAAAAAAGAAAGAAAGAAAATATTAAACTGCATCTCAACGAAGCTTCCCAGGTTGATATCCAGTATCAACAATAAAACCTTAAAATCATCAATAAACACAAATAATTGGTCCAACAATTTTTAGCAGTACATAATTCTGTGGGAGTGTTCAGGGTGGCAGGAGAGGATATATTGTTTATTAATATTCTTCCTAACTTACGCTAGCAAGTTCCTTTATGTAGGAGAGTTACATTCCCCTTTATATATACACAGCAGATATGTGGCTGCAGGCTCGTGTGAGCCTCTCACTATTATACAATTCAATCTGTCTCAGACTGAATTGTACGTTCCTGGCAAATTTCCTTTAATCCCTCTTAAAAGAATATAGACACAACAACCTTATTTAAAGTCAATAAAAGAAGTTTACTCACATCAGTTCACAGTTGGATTCCTGAAGGCAGACTTAGTTACAAATATGCACATGTGGATCTACCCCATATGGGGGAATAATCCCAGTGTTTCTGCTAGCTGAGAGCTAGCAGAGCAGTCCTAGCTAGAAGCTGGTCAAACAAAGAAGGAAGTCAAAAAGAGGGAGGTGTGCTGTGTGACTCGTCCTTTTGTTACCTGGGCAGGTTAGGTCACGCCCACCTTCTATCACATGCAAAAGGAAGGATGCTCCAGCCAGGAGGAACAGGAAGTTTCGACTGGCTGGACCAAACATTCCCTCGCATGTCTTCTCTAGCATTACAAGGAATGCTGTACTGCCTCTCATGGATCACATCCCACAAATTCCACAGCTAATGAAATAGCTAGCTATTTCACCAGTCCCTGAAGGCCAGGGGAAAAGGTGATATCAGTGAGGGAGTAGGCCATACCTCTAATGTAAGCAAGGTGTTCAATTGGGGTGCCATAACAGATAAAACCCTGCAGTGCCCCGCTGCAAAGGGAGCCGTGTCTATGCATGGAATAACCAGCAGAGCATGCTCAAAGCCTCTCCGTCATAACTTCACATATGCTTGGCTGAGTGTACATATTGCAAAGTTCCGCTGTTGAGCACTGGTGAACTCTGTTTCTGATCAGTACTTCTATTTTATGAATGCAAACTTGGGATCAAGTCCTACTGAACACATTTCCTTTGGTGTAAACAATAAGATCAGACTATCAGTTAACAGAGCTTCTAAATCACAGAGGCATCACTTGTTTTTATAGTTTCTTGGCCTCTGTGGGTGCTCCTGCAGGGTAAGGAGCCAGCCTTATGCTGCAAGCCAATCACAGCTTTCAACTTGTTGCCATACAAATAAGGCTGCAATCATAGGCAACCCTAGAGCCTAGCATGTATGGCTTGGGTTGAAAGCATGCTGCTCTCTAGATAGGCCTGGCCCACCCATGAGGTGGAATGAAGCAGCCACCTTAGGTGGCAGAAACCTGAGACAGCACCCACACGGGTGGCAGAGCAGGTGGTGTGGTGCAGCGGAGGCAGCGGCAGGGCAGGGTGGCACTTCCCATTTCACCTCAAGCAGCAAAATGGGACACACCAGTCCTGCCTCCAGAACTTATTGGACTCCAACTCAAGATGTCTTTGGATCATAGAAGTCAGCCTGGTCAGGGATGAAGGAAGTTCTAGCCCAGCAACAACTGGAGGGCCGCAGGTTCCCCATCCCTGTTTTAGAGCAGGCATAGGCAAACTCTGCCCTCCAGATGTTTTGGGACTACAACTCCCATCATCCCTAGCTAACAGGACCAGTGGTCAGGGATGATGGGAGTTGTAGTCCCAAAACATCTGGAGGGCCGAGTTTACCTATTGCAGTTTTAGAGTATTCACGTCAATGTAATTGCATTGCTATCTTTCCAACAACCTGTTATAAGGTCAGTATTATTATCCCCACGTGGAGCTGAGGTGGAGAGAAACTGGATTGTTTGAAGCCACCCAGTGAACTCATAGCAAACATGGGCATAGCCAGGATTTATGTTAGGGACAGCAGGACACCCACCTGTCACCATCCTCTGTCTGGCTCAGTTGTTTTAAATTCTTTTCTTTTGACCCAAGGGCTCAGAAAAATCTGTCAAAATCTTCAGTCATTTGAAAACTAGCAAGTTAAATAAGAAACGAACAACAAGGAGTACCTTTCATGTGGTTAATGAGTATATTTTGCAAAATTACAAAGAATATGCTTTTTTATTTTTTAAAAAATCTAAATTAAAACAAGATTTCTTGGATTTGCTGAAAGCCTTTTCAGCACTTCCTTCTCAAAATTCCTCCTTTCCCCAATGCAGCTTTTCTGTGCGCATTCAGTAAGCAAAGTCCATTGTCAGGTCTTTACTATCCAGAAGGTTCTGAATGACCATTCAATGGTACAAGTGACCTCAGCGAGCATTTCAGTTTCAAATATTATAATTATTATTACTTTTAGTTAAGTGTTTTTATTTATTTACTTGATGGGGGGCAGCTCGCCCCCCCCCCGGGGTACACCCATGATAACAAACATGAGACCTGAACCAATGATTTATTGAACTGCTGCTCAGACTTTTAGCCACTAAGCTACACCAGCTTCCTACTAAAGAGTGCAGCCCTTTGAGCTTGGTTGGGAAATACTTCTGAATAATATGATTATGCCAAAAAGTCAATATAATGTGTGCACCCACCAGCTTGTTTATAAGTAGGGTCCATAGCTTCAGGTGTGATACCGTTTACTTCTAAAGCATTCCCAGTAGGCCCAATTGAATGAAGGGGTTTTACGACTGCGGTCTGAAGTTTTGCAAAACTCTTCTGTCATTTCAGGCACTGGTGTCATTCTAGTGCCGAGGGGGATTGTTTTCCAAAGAACTATATTCCAGCTGTCGTGGAAGTAAAAGAAACAAAAGGCCGCATGATAGAGAGCACTTAGGTAGAGAAGTCGCTTGCAGCGTGTAATGAAGAAGACTTGGCTCCGCAAAGGACCCTTCCCATTTACAGAAAGGTAGCCTCCATCCTTGTTGCAAGCCCGGCCCTACCATCAGGAAGGTGATGCTGCCTCAGGCAGCTGATTCTGGCTGTCATGAAAGGGAAGCAAATTGCTAGTTGTTTAATTCTCTTCCTATTGTACTTGTGTGGGACGCGGGTGGCGCTGTGGGTAAAAAGCCTCAGTGCCTAGGGCTTGCCGATCGAAAGGTCGGCAGTTCGAATCCCCGCGGCGGGGTGCGCTCCCGTTGCTCGGTCCCAGCGCCTGCCAACCTAGCAGTTCGAAAGCACCCCCGGGTGCAAGTAGATAAATAGGGACCGCTTACTGGCGGGAA